TTCGATGCGATCGATGGAGGTTGGTGAGCCACTTCAGTGTTGGGGACTGGACGTCTTTGGGCCCTTACCAGTGAGTCGAACAGGAAACAGATACATTCTAGTGATGATTGACCACTTCACTCGATGGGTGGAAGCCATACCAATCAAGGACCAAACAGGCGAGACAGTGTCGCAAGTATTCGAATTCAATGTGCCTGCAAGGTATGGGATCCCACAGTGTATAATCACGGACCAAGGGCCCTGCTTCGAGTCAAAAGCGTTTAAGGCAGTGTTGGACAAGTGGGGCATCCAGAGACGGCGAACCTCACCGTACCACCCACAAACCAACGGGATGACCGAGCGGTTCAACCGGACATTGAAGACGTGGATAAACTGCACGAAGTTGGCATGGGAAGATGCTTTGCCTCAGGTTCTGATCGCGTATCGGACCAGCATGCAATCAACCACCAAGGTCGCGCCATTCGAATTACTGTTCGGCAGAGAACCACGGATTGCGCTCGATACTTGCCTACCGAACCAGGGCGAGCGGGAACATCCAGCTGGGCATCAAGAGCGACTGCGAGGGAAAGCTAGAAGCGAAACCAAAGCTCGACAAGCGCGGAATAAGCGAAATTACGACGCCAGGCATGAGGCTCACAAGTGGAGGCCATTCAGGATTGGAGAACAAGTCAAGTTACGGAACAACGATCGGCCGGATCATGACGGGCCGGGCGCAAGCAAGTTCAGAGAACGCTGGAAAGGCCCCTACACCATTATCGACCAGAAAGCGGGCAACTTCTTAATCGACTGCGGAGGAATGAAACGTTGGGTGAATGCTGCTCTCCTGCGACCATGGTACGAGAGGAAGAAAGATCCTCGAGGAGGGGCGGGTGTAGAGGGGCCGCTTCCAAGAATGCCTCGGGGGAGCTCTTCGGAGTTAGCTGAGAGCGGATCGAGAAGGACGGCTAGCGACGAGCCTGGGCCCGGAACTACGGAGCGGGAATATGTGGACAGCGCAATAAATCAGACATATACGCCGCTAGCGCAGCCCACAGGACCGACGCCGAGCCGATTGACACAGCCCAGAACAAGCAAGTCGAGAGCTCTCGAACGACTCCTGGCCGATCCAAATCGGGTACAGAGAAGTGGGGATCGAGGCGAAAACAGGAAGGCGGATCTTCCAAGTCAGAGCTCCCGAGGCGAAAGGACTGGCTCGTCTCTAACATCCGTACCTGTGTTGCGTTGTGAGACGGAAATCTAGTCGATATTCGATGGCGCGCGCGAGACCCTCATGTGCCCATTTTCGGTGTGCAATAAACGTCTACCCCCCTGTCGTGTCGTTTTCGCTACACTGGTGCCGTGACCAATCGTGATGGAGTTGACCCAGTTAGAGCAATTTGCGGCCGGTGACGTGGAGGCGTGGCTCGATGAGTTCGACGGAATTGCGGCTTGCACGGGGGTGAGGGGGGATGCAAATTTGCTAATTGCTTTGGGCACACGGTTGAGTGGACGAGCCAAGGCGGTGTATCTGCTCACTCGGAAGGCCAAACCCGGCTGTTCGTTCGCTGAGATGAAGGCTGCCTTGTGTGCAGAATTTGGGAAGGATCTGGAGAGAGAACGAGCACTGCAACGATTTCACGCAGCCAGATGGGACGAACAGGAGGATTTGATGGTGTTTTTCCAGCAGCTGGACAGACATCTAACGATTGGGATCCCCGAGTTAGAGGGCAACGCAAGAGAGCGCCTACTGAAACAGCAGTTTATCCGAAGTCTGCCCGATCCACTCCGTGATCAGGTGAAATTGGCGTCGATGGTGGGAGACAGCAAAGCGGTGGATCTGGTGACGGTCGCCCAGAATTTGTCGGAACGAGTGATAGTGAGAAGCATCCAGCATGCTGAGTTGGAACAGAAAGTAAAGCGCCTATCCGAAATGGTGGAGCAGCTGTTGTCGATAGAGTCTTCAAGCACCGCTTCACAACGCAATGTACGGGTAATCCGGAACGGTCGCCGCTGTTTCCGATGCAACCAGAGTGGTCATGTGGCGAGATTCTGCACCAACGTCAATGTGCCCCATTGTTTCTCTCTATCCATGCCGAGTCGGTGGCGAGTACCAGTCCTCCAGGTAACTATAGAAGGTGTGTCTGTCCGAGCCATAGTAGACACAGGAGCGGCAGTGTCAATTACAAAGAAGTTCAACGGGGTTCCAGTAAACCCATCGTCAATCACGATGCAGACGGTCGGCGGGCATTCTTTGAAAGTGACGGGCACGCAGCGGTTACGAATCAAGATAGGAGAAACGCTCATCCGCCATGACATGTTCATCGTGGAGGAGACGACCGAAACCATCATCGGAACCGACATCCTGAAACGGCTCGGTGTCACCATCGACCTGAGAAACGATGTGGTGATCGTGGCTAACGATACGATCGAGATAAACAAGGAGAGAACCGACCGGATTGGTGCACTCAAAGCCGTGCCTGAGTGTCAGAACCG